AGAGGTAGCTGTGTCATAATGTAACCTGGGGGTGACAGACTGGAAGGAATGTGACAAAGTCTGTTAAAATTTCTCTCTGTGTCCCCTCTGTGTGGCCCAGAAAACCTTTGTATCAAATGTTTACTATTTTCAAATTCCTATGAATTGCTTCCCTTTCTCTTTGAGGCCTCAGGTCCCTCCCCCTTCTCCCTGGTTCAGGATGACATATACACCCTCGCTCTCCCTGACTGCCTTTGGAATCCATGTCTATGGCTTCCCTGTACATATGTAATTAAACTTTGTTTTTTTCTCCTGTTAATCTGTCTCATGTCAATAAGTCTTAGTCCAGCAAGAAGAACCTCAAAGGATAGAGGAAATTTCTTCCTCCCCAACCCTGCCATCAGCATAAATCAGATATAAATTAGTTAACTCGTACTAAATCATTAACATTCAAATACAGCACACTGAGATATATAAAATTTTATTTAAAGCTATTTTTATTTACCTAACCCTATTTATTTATTATCTCTAAAACAATATCTACTCCTAATCCCTGCCACATACTACAAAGTTGAATTTCTTCCTGACATAAATTCTACTCTTCACAGCTTTAACAATATTAAGTATATTTATTAGCATTACATATAAAAGCATTATGAAGAGAGATGTCTGTAGATATACATACATACATACATATACATATACATATACATATACATATACATATACATATACATATACATATACATACTGAATTCAGTTAAGCCTCAATTTGTCCTAACTTGGTGGTAGATTTATTTCCCTAATTTAAAATAATAATCTATTTAGCACAAAGGTGTTCTCTCTCTCTGCTCTAACTCCTGTTTCTCCACTTCAGTCCCAATCAGACATCCTACCACCACAGCTGTTCTCTGACTGCCCTGTGACATCCCAGACTGGCAACCATTATGTTTCTTCAAGGGCACATGACGATTGCACTACACTCTGTGAGCATATTAGCCAAAAATCCAACTTTTTATTTCAGCAAAAAAAAAAAAAAAATCACAAAATTCTTTCCCTCAGCCTGTTGGAGGTACTTCCCTATGAGTACCTTGTATGTAAGCTTTTGTTTAGACTCTGTTTTCTGTCTCAGAATGCACATGCTTAGCTTTGATTTGGTTACTGAGTCAGATAGTGACTCAGCAACACACAGGTAATGGGAGGAACAGAGCAGCTTTAAGTAAATCATTAAACCACTAAAAATCTGTACAATTAGTGTTGTGTCTTTGAATTGGAGTCAAAATCAAGTTGAGAGTTGACACTTGTAGCAGGTAAAAAGATGTAGGCACTGCTCTGCTGTCAACCTCAATAGGGCCATATTTCCAACTCCAAAGCCCCATATCTATTTGTCAGGGTGTTGCACTTTAAAATAATAATAAATCAACAGATAAACAAACACCAAGAGCTCCTTCTGGAACAAAATGCTACAGGTACAGTAGTAAAAAGTCCTGCCAGTCCCAGATGAGATGTGACTTTCAGGGGAAGTGGGTAATTTTTACTTGATGGTGAATCGTTAAAAGTGAACCAGATGATTAAACTTAATGGAACAGCCGCATTAAACTGAAATTAGTAAAAACATGCCTCGGGCAGCCTACAACCTTTTATTTGTTGTTGTTTAACTTCTGCCTTTTACAGTGGCCATGATGAATGACATCACAAAAGAAAAACTCCAATTAAAATCTAAGTGCTCAATAAACCCCTAATGTCTGGTTGCCGCCATTGCTTTCACTGGAGCTGATGTCTTGTTTCGTCTTTTCCCTAAGAAGAGAGAAAATTACTGGCCCCAGGGGAGCTCAAGGGAAGGGGAGAGAAGAAGGGAAAGAACACAGAAAGGTTTCTGGAGATTTCCACTCCCTACACTCTGTCAGATGCAGAGAATGTACTTCGACAGGGATGTGGTGAAACTTTTATTATCAGACAATGCCTGAGTGAAGAGATGCATTTTCCCACTTGTTTTCAAATACTGATAAATCAGAATTGGGGTCTGCAGAGCAATCCTGTATCACACTCAGTTGGTGTCTACACTGCCCTTTTGATTTTGTCTCTGGTGTTTGTTCTATAAGTCATCCAAATGGTCCCTCCTGACAGCTTAAAAGAAGTTTCTGATTACTTTTACCTGAATAAATCTTGTGACCAGATGTGGTATTCAGCTACTAAGTGTTCCTTTTGATTTTGTCTCTGGTGTTTGTTCTATAAGTCATCCAAATGGTCCCTCCTGACAGCTTAAAAGAAGTTTCTGATTACTTTTACCTGAATAAATCTTGTGACCAGATGTGGTATTCAGCTACTAAGTGTGCAACAATTACACATTGAGAGTGATGAAAGAACTGGCCAGGGGAGTCTATAATCTAGTGGAATGAAGAATAGAAGAAATCACATGGAAAGACAGAAACAGCCACCTGGTAGAATACTGGCTTTTGATAACAGACTTCACCTTAGAGATACTGAGTGTTTATAGAATCAGGTTTTTAAAGTCCTCACAACAAAGCTCTCAAAGTCAAAAGAAGAGCAAAAACATGCTTATCATGAACTAATGGTAACAATATCTTAACTTTGGAAGGTGCTTTATAATTTATACAACATATATTATGCTTTATCACCTGTTTATGTAGGAATTAATAGAGTGTTTGCATGTAGTCTTTAATTAGATCTTCATGACAGCCTTGTCCTGTAGCTCCGTTTTCCTCATTTTGTTGGTAAGGAACCAGGTGCATGGAGGCTGATTCAGCTACTCTCATATTTGGGGAGTGAGACAGGAGCATAGCTTGAACTGGGGACTCCGGGTGTGGTGCCCCCTGCACTGTGCCAGGTTGCTAACCATGGCTGCCCTGGGGCAGGATGAGATGGGCAGTCATGTTGGATTCATTACTCATGAGTTAATGAAATAGCTTTTTAAGAGCTCTCTTCAGTCATTAGAATTTGACGACAGAGAGTTAAATTTTCCCTCGTGGCTCTTTCTGCGTAATCATGGTTTCAACGTTTCCTTAGCATATCACATTACACAAATCATGGCGTGCTCTTGTTTTACAATTCTTACTGCGTTTGTCTCACTTCTAAGCATTTTCTTCCCTGCTCACATTTATCTTCCATTATTTCTGCCAAACTGCTTTCAAGGCTACTAATTGTATGAATAATATTCTCTTTCTCAAACTCTGCTATTAGCTAACTAGCATTAGTTGTGTGTCATTGGACACAGTTTCCCTGTCTCAAAAAATGAGGAGGTTGCACGAATAATTTACCAGATCTCTTTTTGCACTCACGTTCTAATCTTCTGAGTCTTCCAACAGGCTATGTGCTTCTGGAAACACTACATAAACTGGAGCCTTGGTTTTCTTGAATTTACTATGATGGATTCAATTAGCTCATGTGTCCCAAAGTGTGTTTCTTGGAAAACTGTTCTAAGGGTTGTAAATATAGTTTATATCTATTTAAAGGATTAATAGGCCCCTTTACACAAGGATTCTTTACACAAGGAAGTTCAAGAAAGCAGGATTAAATAGTCAAGCACAGTTTTGAACTACAGGCATTTCTAGCCTTTAATAGGTTAATGGACACTGGGTGACTCCAAGAGAAAGGCAGAAAAAGGAAGTATTTCCCAAACTTACTGGAGCACAGAATGCTTTTTCCTTAACATTTTGTACAAATGACATTCCATGGGATATACTCAAAGCCTGGGTTAGTATATTTAACAAGTCCCTTTGCCCTAAGATTCTGTTTTCAAATGTGCTTGTAGACGCTACCCTGAGCATTTAGTGTAGTTTTAATCAAGAGGACATAGGGTTGGTTTACCTGTTGCTATTGTCATTACTGCTGTAACATAGCTTATACTCTAGACAGAGTTGAAAAAAGAGATTAGCTGACTTCCCACTAAAACTAACTTGTCAGTTTGTAGCTGATACTTATAATAGGGTCTTAATAGTTTTCCTCAATCAAAAGCATTTTTTGAAATTTTGTAAATATGGTTAGCTTATCTGAAGGTACCTATGAGATATACCTTCTAAACTTTTTCTGAGGTGGGAAAAAGGGAACTAAGAAAACAAGAGGAATTCAATAAGTTTGGGGGTAGGTAATATGGCTAGTTTTACAGGTTAGGATCATCTTCTTCCACTTCAATGGTATTAGCATTCATTCAGCATTTTACCCACACCCATTTCACTGTAACTTACTTAATCTTACCAGTCGCTGCTTGATTACCTTCAGAAGCAGGGAACCCACTACTTAACAAGGCATTCTATTTTATGCTGGCTTCATTTTTTAGAAGATTATTTCCTATATTAAACAAAAATATGATGGTTAAATGTTCTTATTCCAAGTGATCTTGTAAATTATCTACTCAAGGGATTTTCAAGGCATTTTTCATGGCAACACTTGGTTTCTCAAATGCTATGAGCTGAATTTCATAAATAAGTAAATAAATATCACAACTTCCCATAAAAGTGATTACAAACTCCATCATATTAGATTCAAGTTGATTAACTTGCTTCCCTAAATTCATCAAGATAGAAAAATGTAGGCAGAATGCACTCAGGTCTCTCTGTTTCAAAAACCAAAATTCTTTTCTCAACAGTATATTGCTTCTCTAGTGTGTCCATTTACATATAAGTGAGGAGGAGATTATATCAGTGGAATCTGAAAACTAATGAAAATAGGAAAATAGTGAAAATAGTTTCATTCCAGCCAGGCTAAAACTGTCCTTGGGCATCTTGCTATTACTCTGGCCTTTAGTTTTCCCTTCTTCAAAAACAGGGATTGCTAAATTTTCACCAAGCTCTGCTCCAGTTCTGGACATTTCTAGGATTATAAGGAAACATATTCATTAATGCATGGCATTTACTACTGAGATTTAAGTAAAGAATCAAAAGAAAAAACCTGCATCCCTTAGAAAGGAGCGAATGAAAGTAAATACTGCATGCATCATAAAGATACAGTTTAGGATCATATGCTTGACTTTTACTTTCTTTAATTTTTTTTTTCTACACTAGTTACATTCAGACCAGGATAGAGGAGATGGATCACTTAAATATATACTTTCAGGAGATGGAGCAGGAGATCTCTTCATTATCAATGAAAACACAGGGGACATACAGGCCACCAAGAGGTTGGACAGGGAAGAAAAACCTGTCTACATCCTTCGAGCTCAAGCTATAAACAGAAGGACAGGGAGGCCCGTGGAGCCCGAGTCTGAATTCATCATCAAGATCCATGACATCAACGACAACGAACCAATATTCACCGAGGAGGTTTACACGGCCACTGTTCCTGAAATGTCTGATGTTGGTGAGTGACATGTGATTTTAACCATTCAACGTTTCTCCTGTAGTGTCTCAACTGAATAAAGACTCCTATAAGTAAAATTTGCTACGTAGAGTGGATTGAGATGCTAAATTCTAAAAGTATCCTATTTCAAACAATCCATCTATGTTCTTTATGTAAGTGCACCCATGTTTCCTAATATTACTCTTCTCTCATTTTATCATTATTTTTTAAGAAAACATTATTTTTTAAGAAATTCCTCTGATGAGGAGGGTATGAAAAATGGCAGGGTGTGAGTGGGAGGAAGAACGGGAGCCCATCTCATCCACTGCCTCCCCCACAAAGGCCCACTCTGGCTCCTCGGCTGAAAGATAGCAGCCCTCCCTATTTCTCTTACTCCATATCGTCATTAGTCTTCAGGTGAGCATCTCCCTGATGCGAAGCAAAAGCCTGGATTTACAGTCCAGACTGAAGAGTAATGATGGTTGCTTTACCTAACTGTATATTTGGAGAAGAGACATTCAAAGAAAACTTTTTAAAAAATCCATAAACAATATGCAGATGATGTCTAGGGGGCACACCGTTTACTTTACTAAGTGGTGGATATTAAGAGACTTTCATAACATTAATACGGTGAATTAATATTTGTGCATAGTACTACTACCAATTTTATAGTTAATATGTGTGCATTTAATTTGCTTGTATTGGGAGAGTGCAAACAGAATTCAAATTTAGAAAAGAAATTCTACCTAATGTCATTCTTAGCCACATCAAAATACTTCACTGGGAGACAGTGACAAATTTTAAATTACTTGCATAAAGGGTTATTTGTATTCTCACTAAGCATCAAATTCAAAAGGGTTAAATGACATAGTCTATAATTCTGTGAGTCAGATATCAAGGGCGTTTTAGGTCACAGTTCCAAGACTTAAAAAAATACCTAATCCACAGACATGATTATAAAACATCTAAATATTTCTCGTAAAGAATTTGCTCATCTTATTACTTGAAGCCTCTGTTTTGTTAGGAAAAATAACAATTCTACATAACATGGAAGAATCACCAGAGCAAGAATCCAGTCAAATCCCATCCTTGGAGATGGAGTGAAATCAGTTCCACCCAAAGTCATGATCATTACCAGGCTTCTATTTAACCTAATCCTTACAGTAGTTATAAATGTTGACCACCTTCCTTAGCATTAGAAATCCAAGGCTTTTTAACCTAGTATCCTGCTGAAGTTCTCTACTGCCTTGTCATGACAGTTTTATACAAAATAAGATCATGCTTCCTCATTACGTGTGTGTATCAAGGACCCATATGGACCCTCAATCTATTTTCAAGTCACGTTCCTGTCGTTGCAGGCACATTTGTTGTCCAAGTCACTGCAACTGATGCTGATGACCCGACTTACGGGAACAGCGCTAAAGTCGTCTACAGTATCCTACAGGGGCAGCCCTATTTTTCAGTTGAATCAGAAACAGGTGAGAATTCCTTTTTCATCTTCCTTTTACACTCTTCAACTTTGACATGTTCACCTGAACTAGCATACTTTTTAAAAATCAGTGTGATGGAATTTTCCAAATCATTTGCCAAACACAGTGATGTATTTGTAAATGTAATATCCAGATCATTTTAATCAAGAAATCTGATGATGGATCTTTCATCCATGATGTTTAGATAGGTTAGATTCAGAAAACATACACTGCTTTATTGTTTCTTCCAGTTTGGGGTGAAGCTAAAAGACCAACCCCTTCTGATAGCCACTGGGGCTGTTTGTAAATATTCCAATTCTTTCTCTAATTATTTGTTAGGATTGCATCTCTTTACCCCGCTCTGATGCTAGATGTAGCCATGTGATTTATTTGAGCCAGTGAAGTGTGGCAGTGATGTGAGTCACTTCCAAGTGGGACTTCTAGGCCTGGTGCACTATCTACCAAGTTCCTTTCCTCTTGAGATCATGGATGATCACAGATGAAACCAATGTTGGAAAGAGTCTCCAGCCTGGATATCTAGGTGTTATGAGCAGAGCTTCCTGCTGGCCTCCTCAGAGCATGAAAAAAAACTAGTTTTAGTTCTGCTAAACCACTGAGGCTTTGCATTGTTTGTTATTACATTGTATAGCCTGTCCTAACTGATACTGCCCTAATGAAGTAGATGGCCTTAATGGGCTCCTTTCTTCAACATCTAATTTTTCTGCACTTTCCCCAAAAAGTTACATACTATCTTATAATGAACTATTTTTTTAGTAAATATCATTTGTACAGTATAGTAAATGCTACACACATTTTTGCTATCATAATAGGAGTTGAGTTCCTTTTATACATTTTTCAAACATCCATTATTGCCAGTAGAAACCAAAACTTGTCGAGGTTACTATATCCAGTTGGAAATTGATGTGTTAAGAGGTGCAATGAACTTGGAAAGAATCCCAAGGAGAAAGAAAATGTTGAGTTGAAGAACATTGAGTTCTGAAAAATTAGAATTATTCAACCTGAAGTAGAAAAGGCTAAGGTGATCTCCTGTGTTTAAGGAGAGAAGTCCTATTATTTGGAAAACAGAATGTAACTACACTTTTACTGAAATCAGGACTATAGGAATAAAATTGACCTGTTGTTGGAGATACTCTTGTTAAAAATAAAAAGTATATATTTTCAACTTCATTGGTTGAATGAAGCACTGGAATGTGCTTCCAGAGAAGGCTTTAAAGTTTTCAAAGCCTTTAAAGTCTAAAAAGATTTTTGAAAGAATGTTGTTAATTTAAGTGTAAAACCTACACAGAGATTAGGCAAACTTTTAGAAGCTCCTTAACTAATTATTTTATTACTATCTTACAATTGAGATAAATTGAAATTAATTTAAGAACCCTGATTACTGCTGGGACCAGTTGAAATGACTGATGTCCACATTGGCCTTAGGATAACTTAAATTTCCTAGAATCATACAGATGAAAATTATGAGCAAACCAATATTGTGTTTTATTAAGACAATAATTTTGTGGTTTAGAAATATCCTCAGAACCTTCAGAATGGTAGGTATATCTGATGACTAATTAGCCAATTCAGTAAAGTGAAATTCAAGAGTCAGTATATGGCTTTCTTAACAATTTCCTCATAATACACCTTTTATCAAGCAACTACTGTAGTATACCATTATAACACATGCCAAGTTCTATTTCACTATGCTATAGTATATTTATACTACTTACAGTCCATGTATTTCAGGATTTGACTTGTACTTAGTTTCCTCATATTATAGGGTTTTTTAATGTATCTATCTCCCCTTCACAATACAGGCTACCTATAATCATCTTTATGTCACCCATGACATCTAGATAGTGTTTGCATATTATAGGTGACAATCTATGTTTGTATAAATAAATGATTTGATCAAGTATTTTTACTGCATCCTTTTCTACTTCTGAATTTCATATCCATAGGTATCATCAAGACGGCTTTGCTCAACATGGACCGAGAAAACAGGGAGCAGTACCAAGTGGTGATTCAAGCCAAGGACATGGGCGGCCAGATGGGGGGGTTATCTGGGACCACCACAGTGAACATCACACTGACTGACGTCAACGACAATCCACCCCGGTTTCCCCAGAGTAGGAACATTTGATTGAATGAGTTTCTTCTGTGCACTTTTGTAAAACTCCAAGCATGATATTTATTTTCCACTGTTGTTATTAATTGTCAAAATTAGTGAACTTAGAACTGGCACTTTATTAAAAATAATTTGACAACATTTATGTTCAATAGATGTGAACATTGATGTTCCTCTATTGGTAATTAGCTAAAGGATTTCTGATATGGCTGCTGTAAACAAAACATCATTGTTTTGTTCTTCTTTATTAAAAAGACTACCATAGTCATAAATTTGCTTGTGCAGAACATGTGAATATAAGCATGCTGCTATTTGTCAGGAAAAATCTGACTATGTTTTGTGAATTTAATCAGGCATGTAATCTCTTAAATCCTCAAGAAGGTTTGTAAGGGAAGGATTTATCATTTTACTGTTTCTAAAAATAAAACTGAGGAAATAACTATGTACTTAATCCATTTGTAATTATAAACAGTTTTCTACATTATGGTTAACTGAAAGTCATCCCTAAAATCATTAACTCTTAAGACTAGACAGGAAGGAAGAAGAAAGGGAAACAGCATTCTTAAATTCCCACTTTTTATCAAGCAGTTCACTAGATCCTTTCACAGAAAGTATCTCAAGTGGGTATTGTTGTCGATATAATTTTTCCTCTAGGAACAAAATTCCTTTCTGGCCATGAACTCCTAAGAAAATTACCTGAATCCTGTCTTCCAGGAGAAAATAGCTGCCTATCATTAAATAGGAAACCCATTTACCCAATCACTGCATTTTTAAGCTGCTCGGCTTCTTTCATAACGGAGATATGCACGGATCAACAGGACATCCTTATATTTTCTTTACTTTTTTTTAAGTAGTTAATCACAGTTAGCTAAATGTAAGAAAACAGAATAACTAACCAATTCCTGATTTAATGGGTAGAATAAGGGTATTATAAGCCCTAAAATTTCTGCCACAAAGGCTTGAAATGAAAAATATCAGGTTTGCCAACACTTTGCCCAAAATTCTCCTTAGCAGGGAATGCCCTCAGGAAGGAAAACAAAATGATTCACCAGCACCTGATACCACTGGGACCTGACCCCTCTCTGTCTTCTCCTTGGATACCCTGTGATCATTACTGAAACAGGAGGAGAGGACACTTATAGAAAACAACTTGGCCTGTTTTTATCATTTTATCAAGGATGAGCCCAATACTTAATGGACAGACATTACTGAATGACTACATTTTATTAGTGTCATAGTCTGTATTTTTTTCCTAAAAAATGGGAGTGAATGGTCAGCAAAATGTAACCAATGGGAGTAGAGTCAGTTTTGTTTTCATTCTTTTATCTTTTGGTCCTAAGTATATGCTGGCCTGACAGATCTAAACTGAAACTCACATGCAATCTCCTTAAACTAATTTTGCAACATAAGGCCATAAATAAAAGTGTGTATCTATGAAAAATAGATTTTAAATCCTTAATCTAAACACAAGAATGGGAAAAAACCTATGCATAGAAAAATATCATAAACTTTAAAAGAATTAGTAAAAAAAAATAATTTTTATGAGCTTTGGCTCTCCATGTATTTATCTATATCCCTAACTGCGACCAGACCAGCTCCACGAATGGGTGAGAGAATGTCTACTTGGATACATTCTCCAAATTGCCGTAATTTATTTTCCTTCAGTTATTATTAGCAATGACAGAAAGAAATCTTTTAAAGAATACCCAGTAATTGGTTTAAAGACACAGGTCAGGTTAAATTCTTTTCTACTCTTTTCTGCGCGATTATGTCAACAGGGGGCTTTAAAACCTTCTGAGCCCTTTCCTAGCAGTTCAGCCCCACAATCACACACACCATGAACCTAGAAACCTATTTACAGAACAAGAAAAGTATTCTCCATTTGCAAAGAGACAGGTCGTGACAGAAGAAATATTCCTAACCATCATAAAAGTAAAGACCTGAGGAGAATAGGGTGCCCTTAATTATTTTAAGGAAAGTACAGATCTGCCTGTATTCGTGGTAATGTCTAAAACCACTGTTAGAAAATGGGTTTTGTTTTTATTATGTTAGAGGATGCTGTGTTTTGACTTATGTATGTCTGGTGATTAATAGGTACGTACCAGTTTAAAACCCCTGAATCCTCTCCATCGGGTACGCCAATTGGCAGGATCAAAGCCAGTGACGCGGATGTGGGAGAAAATGCTGAAATTGAGTACAGCATTACAGAGGGAGAGGGGCTGGACATGTTTGACGTCATCACCGACCAGGAAACACAAGAAGGCATTATAACTGTCAAAAAGGTAATGCTGTGTGTTAAATACCATACAAATGATCACATTTACTTTCCTCAGGTCCCCGAGTACCTGGGGGCAATTACATCTCACATGAACATTCCTCTAGATTTTTCTTCTACTGATTATATCTTTTAAAACACCAAGTCTAATTACATTGCGATCTCTTTGGCTTTTAGGGTTCCTCAATAATCTGATGCATTCATTAATTTCATACTTTCCATAAATTTTTATTAAAAACCTAGTAGGTAAATAAATGATATTTTTAAATGATATAAATTAAAGTACATGAAGTACATAATATCAAAGCACAATAAATAAACAAATAGTGCCAGGCACTGTACAAGATACTGGAGTCCCAATAGTACATTCAACAGAATGGTCTCTGCTCTCATGGAACACCCAGTCCAAGCAGGGAAGAGACAAGGAAGCTAACAAGAAATGTGTAACTACAAATTCTGGCATATGCATTGAAGGAAAAGACTAATACAGCACTGATGAAAAAATGACCTGAATTAGAGAGAGACCATATAAAAAGACAGCAAAAATAAATTAAGTAACATGAATTTCCTGCAAGGTTTTGGGCTACTTTTTGGAACACAACAATAAAATTTTCATATGCTGAATTCCTACTTTTCCCCTATGTACTCATTCACTGTTTAACCCTCAAACTGTCTAGCACCACAAATCATTGTACAAGGGTGGCAAAATATTAAAATTAATAAAACTGTGTGTTTCAAAGCAAAAAATAGTATCTGTTTTGGTTACTTTTTAAAATGATTTCACTTTTATCATGCATGGTGTAATATTTTCTCTCTTCTTTAACACACCATTATATTTGCTGTTAAATATGGGTATAAATAAATGGGTGTAAATAACAAGAAAACTCTTTTCTTTTTAAGCTTTGGATTATGTGGCTTAGTGCCTGGAAACACAATAAAACATGTTGAAGTGACATTCAGACCAATGTTTTATACTATAATATAATTAGGAAGCCCATTAGTGTACATTAACCTTTTTAATTTTCTTGGTGCCTTATCAGATTCAAACTGAAATTTTGCCTAGCTGACTGAATCCCATTCACTGATGTCTTGATTAATTGTATTTCCAGTGAATCTTGTCATATGATTACCTGAAACTAAAAGTCAGCAACCAGCATTTGGGTTCACTATGTCTCCAGAAACAGAGATAGTTTTTCCTAAAGACCTCTGACAACAACCATTATTACCTTCTTTGGCAAGTAATGAGCTCAATGCCCTTATCAGATTATCACTTGGAATATTTTATCATCTCATGATGATAAAACACAGACACACACACACACACACACACACACACACACACACACACACGTTTTTAGTCTGTTTTATCTGAATGGGAAAGAGGAAGTCAAGATGCAAACCTGCAGTTCTCAATTCTGGCTGCACGTTAGAATCACTAGGGGAAGTGTTTAAAAGTATAGATACCCATCCCCACCCCAGACCCACTATTTTGGTTTAATGGTTCAAAGTGGGGCCTAAATATCAGCAAATTTTAAACGCTGATTAGGTGTTAGATTAAAGTTGATGTGACAACATCTGGCACAGAATAACCTACTACATATTTACCAACTTGCCACTGGCATGGCTGTCTCCAAGCAGTCACAAAGGCTGCTTCCAGGTTCCCTGTCCTGTTCATTATATCTTGCACCCCAGGGCCCACTTTCAAGTCAATAGCAGGCGTGGTTTCATCCTGCACTTGCCTCAGGACTGCATGGCATCTGAACTCCCATGACTTTGCCCATTATCACAGCGTTATAGTGATGTCTCTAAGCAATATGATCACATTCATTTATCAGTGATTTGCATAAAAATGGCTCATGTCTTAGTTTTTTGTGTCTTGGCTGCTTTAAATATGTCATTTTTCTCTCTCCCACCCCACTCCCACTAACCAAGCTCTTGGACTTTGAAAAGAAGAAAGTGTACACCCTCAAAGTGGAAGCCTCCAACCCTCACGTTGAATCCCGCTTTCTCTACCTGGGTCCATTCAAAGACGCAGCCACCGTGAGAATCACAGTGGAAGATGTGGATGAGCCCCCTGCCTTCAGCAAACTGGCCTACATCCTACAAGTAAGAGAGGATGCTCAGATAAACACCACAATTGGCGCGGTCACAGCCCAAGATCCAGACGCTGCCAGGAATCCTGTCAAGTAAGCATACTTGTGTGGCACAGTACATTCAAGTACCTACCTGAGGGTTAGAAAAGAGGAATCCTTTTTTCCCAATTAGACACTTGTGTCTTCCTGAGAAACTACTCTAAACAACATATTAACTCTCCTTGCTCAACTTATTATTTTAGCAACAGCATAAACCTAAAACACAACATTTAGGTGGAGGGGCACATAAAATGAGTTTACTGCATACATGGAAGTGGTGTGAAGTAATGCAGCTGAGGGACCTGGAATTTTTTTTTTAAGCTCTTAGATTTGTTGAAAAGTGGCATGGAGAAAGCATTGTGATTTTTAACAAACAGAGCACTGGGCTTCACAGTCTGTTTTTCGGTGTGGAAGAACCTATCATGCAACTCAGAGGCAGAATTACACTCCATTTGGAGCATAATTTTTTTTCTTTTGCAGACATGGATAAAAACAAGAACCATCTTATAATAAATGTCTGTGAAATCCTGGGGAAATTAATAGAGCTAAATCCAAATTTATACTATGTAAGCAAGCTCTATTCTCCCCATACTTTTCTTTACACCTTAGATGTACATCACGTTGCAAGAAAGCCTCACTGCTCTGAGACCGCGGATGCTTTGTATTCCAGACGCGTATCATAAAAGCAGTGGAGTCAACAACTTCCAGCGTTTAGCCAGCAACTTAGCTGACTACATGAGAAAAGTGCTAAACCAGAATATCATGTGTAAATTATTCCCCATAAAGAAAGTAAGAAGGCTGACAAGCTAGAGGAACTCTTGCCAGTGAGTTCACAAATATATTGTTATCAGGGCACTTGCCATATGCCAGCATGTTCTAGGCATTGGGGATACAACAGAACAGTACCAGGTCCTAATCTCATGGAGCTTACATTCTAACTGGGAAAACAGAAGTAACAAACAATAAATATGTAGTGATATATGAGGTAAAATACATTGTAAGCAGTGAAATAAGATAGGGTATAGAGACCTTAGGTTTATCTGGTGCACAATTTTAGATAGGGTAGTCAGGCTTGGCTTTGGTAGGAAATCACTTAAGTGAAGATCTGACAGAACTGAAGGGATGAACCAAGTTGACAGTGTGGGGAAGAACATCCCAGGAAGAGGGAAGAGCAAGGGTGAGGTCTGACACCGGAGCTTGCTCCACAGGTAGGGGGAGCAGCTAGGCTGCCAGGAAGCTGCAGGGGAGTGAGCGAAGCAGAAACCTAGGAAGCGACGGGAAGGTTTGGGCGGTGGTGAATGCAGCAGGTCCTACCGAAGTTTGTAGCCTGATATAGACGGGATCTTATTCTGACTGAGCTAAGAAACCACTGGAAAGTTTTGAACAGAAGTGTTACCTAATCCAAAACTACTTTGTAAAAGGATCTCACTGGCTGCTGCATAAAGTACAGATAAAACAGTGATGTTTTAAGGAAGTTGTTTTCTAACTTTTTAGCCATTGAGCCCTTTGTTCCAAAGAAACTTGTGGCAAGTTCCACAACTAAAACAAAACAAAACAGAAATGCCTGGCTTACTTTCAAGGAACAACTTCAAATCATTGGGAAAATAGACTGTTGTTTTATCATTCTACTGAAGTATCTACAGACTCCTTGAATTGCACGGTGACCAACCTGAAGTAGCAACACATGAGCTCCATCAGTCAAGTGTGAATCCATAGACATTTAATATTATTAATCAGGAAAATGAATGATGATACTCACCTATGTAACACAAATAATTTTAAGTACTTTCACAACTGTTCTCCCACTTGGAGACTGTTCTATGTAAGGAAAAATCTTAGCAAATCAATGTCAAGACCAATTAAAAAGTGTTAATGCTTCAAGATTATAAGTATGAGCATCAGTTACTTCTTTGATCAGTCAACACATTTTTAATTGAAAGATATAATGTCTTCTGGGAATAAGGAGTGAATTTTTGTCTATTTAACTTTTATACCAAAACCATTTTTACCCACTATATTAAAGGAAGTAGATAGTTTGTCAGACTGTGTTGGCTATCAGCAAATTTTGAAGTTTTGCCAGCCTTCCATTGGTACATATGGATTTCATATATATAGATAAAGATTTAAGGACAGAAATACACATAGATATGCTGGTATATAAATGCATATTCCAGTGATGCCTTCTGGAGGATAAAATGGATTCTTATATTAAGAGTGTACATCCTTATATAGTTTCTGATGATTCAAGATATAAATATTGAAGAACTAGGTGCTTGACAATGTTAGGTACATACTTAATAGTAGGAAGTTCTTCCCCCAAACATTTATTTATCATTATGCAGGCACAAATCTTTAATTCTTTAACCACATACAATAATTTTCTTCCAATAACTTTATTAAAAAATGCCCTTGAATTTCCATGAGTCTTATAAAACGTTATTCTGAATACATACTATGAAAAATTTACATGCAAATACACTTCCCCTTCTAACCCATGAATCTCCTTACTTGGAAGGACAGATTAGAAGACAAACTATTGAATCACAGAATACAATAAAGTTCTAGAAAAAAAAAGTCCACCTAAAATGATCTGGTATAATCCGATGAGATTGATTACCTTGTTCCTTATCAGTTATGACTACAATTAACTGACTGATGGTGAATATCCTAGACATAAATTGAAATTACTTTGGAAAGAAAAGCAACAAACAAGGCTTTGTGTGCAAGCATCTTTCCTAAACACTGTAGACATTTTAGGTTTATTATTAATATTTTAATCACTCCATTAAGGAAAAAAGTAATATGCAATTTTGGTATTTCCTAGTTACTTGCTCTTTAAAATCAAAAGCTGCCTTTAACTAAAAGTTCCTCACCCATTACCCTTCACTTCAAGGCTTACTGGGGAAATATATCACTTGTAAAACATAAACTGTAGCAGGAAGAAAAGAGATGAGTAACAATAAGATTACTGATGTATGAAATGGTAACAGCTTATAAAGACAATAAGCAGGTCATTTTAAGTTGACATATTTCATGAGGAAAAAAGTTATATTTGTAACAATTATTAGATTTCTTACAAAGTCTATGGATATTGAAATTTCCTTTTTGGTAATTAATCATGTGCTATAAATATTTATCATTCTCAAATGAAAAAAGGTGATCAAGCAAGTTCAATACTGTTGCCTAAATTCTTCATAAATGCTGATTCATGACATAAATGGCAAAAACAATAACTGTCTCATCTGTTTCTGCCCTTTTGATAATAAAAGAAATAGTTTTATATAAATGAAAACTAAAATTCTAACCGAACTTGATATATATATCCTTTGTGAACTTCATTAATTTTCTTTAAAATTAGGCTTAAAGAACCTAAATAATGAAACACCTATTTAATTTAGACCCCTGCTAGATGACAAAAATAGATTTTAGTAAGATAAAATATATTGTTTATTTTAATTCACTAGTTACATTTTAAAACAAAATAATTAATTGAAATAGAATCTTGGGCATGGCACATTATTGCAAGTTAGTAACAAGAGTTTATTTTTCTTACAGCACTCATAATAATTTCACATGTGTATGACCAGTTAGGTAATTTGCTTAAATTATATTTACACTGAGCCAACATTTTTAAATCTCCTATCATGATGTAAGTTTTGAAAATATAGCTGAAATGGGCAATTCTTTTTCTTAATGGCCTTAACATATCAACTTCCCTCTGAGTTTTTTCTTTTATGTAATCCCCATAAAATAGAATGCTTATATATTTTCCCCTTACATAGTTATTCCAAAAACTAGACATAAATTTATAAAGAAGATAACATTTCTCAAGATCTACTGGTCTTCTATCAATTTCAGTGTTGAAAACTCTGTTCTCCTTTGTTTTCTAATGACCAAAAGTTTTCCTAGTTTTTATTTTTCTTTGAATTCTCCAAATTCTCCTTAATATTTATCAAGTTCCTACTCTGCTCTGGGTGCTGTTCTAGTCCCTGTGGGTCTGTAGTCTCCATTCCCCCATATGTCCTTTAAGTGGTTGATTATTCCCTTAGTGTTTTTCTCCCCTCCTGAATGTTCTCTTCCCAGACAGTTGAGTAGGAAATCCAGGTTGTCAGTCCAGATCTTGATCTTGAGCTTCAGACTAGATATCTCTTCCTGGACATCCCTCCCACATCTCAGCTTCAACATCAAAAGAAACTTACGATCTTTCTCAAGTCCTGTTCTTCACTTCTCTCCTATCAGTTTATGACAGCACCATTCAACCATGCTCCTTAATTCAATCAGTAAACAAAGGTTAAACATGATTTAGATTGTGAAACACCCCTTCTTAGCATCCAGTGGTAGATTCACATTGTTGTTAGAATAAATTCCAACTCTTCAGCATGGCCAGCCTGCCCTACAGTTCAGCCTCGGGATCTCTCCCCAACCTCACCTCCTGTCTCCCTCTCCTGCCTCACTAACTTCAGCCACACTAGCTATCTTTTGCTTCTTTCAGCATAATGACTTTAAAAGTAAAGCAGATAATAGAAAAATAGCTAATAACCCAATTTATGCACACAAACACACACACATGTGCACAAATTAAAGTTCTACGGTTCTAAAAACATTGACTTAAAATATAATAATTACTATATAAACTTGATCAAAATTACATAAAAAAAGAAACTTTATTGGTGATTCTCAAAACCTGCAACTTGTCCAGTAGGTTTACTAGTAAGATCTCAACTGTAAAGAACTAATTTCTCAGAATATTTTGCTTAATGTTAAGTTGTAGATGTTCAGATACATGCTACAAGTTTGCAGGGAAAAAATGCATACCAAAGATGTTCTGGGAATAGATTCAGAATGTGACAATAGCAAATACAAAGAAAACCTTTCTAAATTCTACTCCACATTTTCAGGTACTCAGTCGATCGACACACAGATATGGACAGAATATTCAACATCGATTCTGGAAATGGTTCGATTTTTACATCGAAGCTCCTTGACCGGGAAACATTGCTGTGGCACAACATTACAGTGATAGCAACAGAAATCAGTAAGTCCAACCTCATGGCACTGCTGTCGCAATTGACAGAGTGAATGTCCCAGCAAGGGCTGCTGAAGCACAGCTGAAACTCATCACCATGTATTGATGATCCTGCTCCATACATATTAAGTGGGAAAATGCTGTAATGATGTGCAATAAGGTGTCTTCTAGACATGTGTTGGTTCATTCACAAATGCAGAGGCAATTGGGGAAGTTCTGCAGTTTGGAAACAATAAAATGGGAACGTACCTCTCAAATGAGGCTGAATTGCTACATGTTGGATTTGATTCCAGAAAACTTGTATGTCAAAACATTACAGAAACAACTGAAAAAAAAAATGGGCACACAGAACTGGAGAATATTTTTAAATGTAGGCATTATTTAGGATATTCATCCTCTAGCTTTCTACAGAATTTCTATTTCAAAATCATTACAAAATTGAGAGATACAAATGTTAGCTTTTCCATGATACACCAAAGTGAGCAATACAGACCACCAAGTAATCAATGAATGTTTGGAATGAATTTTTATGGCAGTGCCCATGAATTTAAGGCAAGAAAAATAGTGCCAACAGAATGCTTCAAATAAAATGATCATACACAGTGAAAATTGTGTAATGTAAACACAATGTGTAGATCTAAGTACATGAAAGGAAAAGGATCTTTAAAATAACACTTAAATGTTTTACAAATAGACTTCTAAATTATAGCTAATTTTTCAGTTTTTGTTTTTGTTTTTAAAAGTTGAAACATTTTTAGCTCAATTGGATATCAAGTGAAATATTCCATTTCAAATGGTATTGGATATCAAGTGAAATATTCCATTTCAAATGGTGTACTACAATTGTATTCTTTATCGACAACTCATGAGATTTGAAGTGGATGAAAGATATTAAGTAGCATAATAAATAATGGGCAAAATGAAGCATTGCTCTTTAAAAGTGGTAAGAACTCCTCATTATAAATTTGTGAAGTAGGAATTTGCTCTTCAGAATTTATGTGGAGATACCAAGAACAGAACAGAACTTAAAGCTTTAAAATTACAAAATTATTTCCCACTGAAAAGGACCGTTCTTTACAACATCATGAAATTTTTACTGAAGAAGTTCTTTTGTGTGTAGTTTAAGCTGTGTGCCTACAAATTTCTGTTTTTAAGATTTAATATTTCTGCGATGTTTTTGAAAGTACTAGTGATAAAGAGTTTTTAAAACTTCATATCCAGCAGCTCTAACTTTGGAAGAATAATCTGAGCAAAATTTAGATGCAAGGCAAGCTTAAAAATCTTACTGCCCAAACTTCTCAACTAGCTTTGATATGACAGAAACCAAGAGCTTATACAAAACCAGCCCATTCCCCCTTCAGGGTCTTTACAGTTGCTGTTTCCTCTATCTGGAAAGCCAGAAATATTCACATGACTTAATCCTTCTCTTTATTGATGTCTCTGCACAACGGCATCTCATCAGGGAAGCCATCCCTGTTCACCCTGTTCAAAGTAGCACCTTCATCTCTCTCCAATCCCTTTTCCATGTTACTTTCTCCATTTAATTTCTCCAAATATATAATGTATTCTGATACATTGTGTATTTATGTGTTTATAGTTTGCCTACCCCCATAGAATAAAGCTTCAGGATGCAGGATCTTTGTTATGTTCTCCATGAGTCTAGCACCTCAAGTAGAGGCTGGCACATGTTAGATATTAGATGCTTACTAAATATGAAGAGAACAAATGAATAGACACATGACTGAAGTGAATGAAGACAATGGAGGTGACAGATTCTGACTCCTGATTCTTGAGCCCTGGAAGCTCTCTTCTACATTACCCAGAATAGTACCTGTTGTCATAGAAGACAAACAAAATACTTCATTTATCACAGGTCTTCAAACATTGATTCTGCCCTCTATTATCCTAGATGAGCAGGCTGGGCTTCAGAGCCAAACAGGCCTGTGTTTGAATATAGACTTTATGACTTACTATCTCTACGAACAGGGACAAACTGCCTAAGTTATCTATGCTCAGTTTCCTCACCTGTACAGTGGGAAATAACTGTATCCACCTCAGCAGTTTGTAAGGATTAAATAAGATAATATAGCAAAGTGCTGAGCACAATGTCTAGCTCTTCTTCAGTACTCAAACTAAAACACTAAGACCAATAACAACCATTTGGTCTCCTTCATTTTGTCCAAAATTTTCCTGTTTTCCTGCTTCCTTGGCTTCCTTTAAAACCTACCTCTAAAATACCTTACCTGGTAACTTTTCCTTATTGTGTGTTACTCTGAGGTTTATAAACATATACAGCTGCACCGGACCAACAGGCAGCTCTGTCTCCTAGGTATTTCCATCGGAATCATCCAACTCCAGACGTACCCACCGATCAAATTCTTTTTTGTGACCAGTTGGTACAAAATGCCTTACAGTACTCGCAGCAGCCTTGGGAAGTCAGTGTATGAACGAGAAAGAAGGAGTGAGTGAATGTTGTCTAAAGGAGATTGCTAATCAATATATAAATGACTCTTCCTTTCTTTTTGGCATATTCAGATAATCCAAAGCAAAGCAGCCGAGTACCTCTATATATTAAAGTTCTAGATGTCAATGACAACGCCCCAGAGTTTGCTGAATTCTATGAAACCTATGTCTGTGAAAAAGCAAAAGCAGATCAGGTGAGTTTCATAAAAAAGTAAATTAATATACTGAGATAAATTTAATCTTCAAATAATTCAGACAATACACAGAACACAGGGCTAGTTTTGAATTATCTATGAAATGAAAGCTAACAAAATTAATACTATAAATAAGAACCAGGATGGATGTTTAACTTGTATAAGAGAACACAGTTTTTAGGACCTGGAAGTTCATCAGTCTCAAAGACTGATGATGATTCAAATCAGTCTTAAGTTTTCATTAAAATAGATTAGTCACAGCTTTATTGGAAAAATCTTTATTGGTGAGCAGATACTTTTAATTACCATATATACACTGAGAAGTAATAACTAGAACATATTTTACAACTGCCTATAATTCATAGTTGCACAAATTCACATTGCGCGCCTGTACAAGTAATACAGGCTCACGAATGCTTTCCTGTTTTACATTTTCCCCACCTGAAATAGATCTTCTCTGCCAGTGATATAAAAATTATGTCACAGTTTGTCAAAATAGAAGTGCCACTGTAAAAATACATGGTAAAGTGGGAAGCTGAAGTTATGTGTTTTCTATACAAATTTCCTTCTTAGCTTTTTTGCAAGTCAATGGCTTTTGTACATGTCCAGATTGCATTTCTAAACAGGCTGCCCAAAGAGGGCCTCCACTTTCTCAAGGTGTTGTCATAAATCATTGTGATATTTTATAGCTTTGCATCACTCCAGGGCAGGGCTTCTCAACCTGGGTGGTTTTAACCCCATAGGGAGCATGGAGCAATGTCTGGGGACATTTTCGGCTGTCACGACCAGGGTGCCCCTGGCATGGAGCAGGATGAGGCAGGGCGAGCTGCTGAACGCCCTGCCGTGCACCGTGTGACCCCTCCAGCAAAGGGCTGTCCCTTGCTCTTTCCCACCCATCGGTTTACACGTAGAGTGGATTCATCATAAATTTTCTAGAAGCTCTCATTTTTAAGTTAAAATTAGAAATCATTTAGTCTAGCAATTTACTGCAAAACTCTAAGAAACACTTTTGAGTTAGCAAAACTTTACGGCAGCTTTATGGTTTTGATTTCAGTTGATTCAGACTCTACGGGCCATTGACAAGGATGACCCGTACAGTGGGCACCAGTTCTCATTCTCTTTGGCCCCTGAAGCGGCCAGTGGCTCAAACTTTACCATTCAAGACAACAAAGGTAAATGAGCCCAAGTTACCTTCCCTGTCTGCATATTTGTATCTTTATCTGTATCTCCGTATTCCCATCACAACTGATCCAGTACGTGATGTGGTAGCCCAATATATTCACCACTTTGCTTCCTGGTTCCAGACAACACAGCGGGGATCTTAACTCGGAAAAATGGCTATAATAGACACGAGATGAGCACCTATCTCCTGCCTGTGGTCATTTCGGACAACGACTACCCAGTCCAAAGCAGCACCGGGACAGTGACTGTCCGTGTCTGTGCATGTGACCACCACGGGAATATGCAGTCCTGCCACGCCGAGGCCCTCATCCACCCCACGGGACTGAGCACAGGGGCTCTGATTGCCATCCTTCTGTGCATCGTGACACTACTAGGTAAACTGCTTCTCCCTAAATCTTATCTCCCCATGCAGAGGGGTGCACACTGTTACTGTGACACCCTAGGTTTATCTGCCTCCCCTATTAAGGCATTCAGCCTGATCTAGGTGAGTAGAGTGATATGTTGAGAATCTGCGTTGCTTAACCATGAACTAGTGTTTGCTTGAAAATGGCTTTGGAGAATGAATGGAAGTGAAATTTGCCCATGTCTTGATCTATCCAGGGAATGATTCCATTAAAAAAATTCCCTGGTCTATCAGACTAGGAATGAATCACAGTGGGAGTGGAGGGCAATAACAATATGCCCTTTTCATTTCATTTGTTGTTTAGTGTTTAACCTACCAAACACTTGTAAACTTCAGAGTGAAAGTCATTCAACATAGAGGATATGATGATGGCTGATTCTCCAAAGGTCAAGTGGAAAGATCAATGGAAGCGTGGAAAGATTGTGATGACTTTTTCTCTCTCATACAGGAAAGCAAAAAGTTGTAAAATTTGCTTTAATCCAGCAAATTTACTTTGATCTGCCCAGTTACATAACTACCTTGTTAGCATTATTCTTTGATTGAAATACATATGATGGCTATTTCTGAATCTCAGTAATAAATAAATTCTGTGATTCAGGAAATAAATCTAGGTCTTAAAAGAAATAAATAAGGTAAAAGCAAAAGTCAAAGTTAACAGTGATCTAAATGTGACTTTTACCCCCAACCAACTAATTAGTCACACAAACTGAGCTGAAAATGCTCAGCAGACCCTTGATGATTGTGAACAAAGAAATAAAATGTTAGCTAATGTAGCCCTTCTGAAAATAAAAGTAAGATTTATAAAGCTTGCCTACACAATGGCAGGTGGGAGGGAGTAAGGCATTAAGGGTTTACCTGTATCACACAGGGGGAAAAAAACTCTAAAATATAAATATTATATAGTGACTTTGAGAAAAGTAAAGACCTACATTTCTCCATGAAGAGAATACCTAGGGATCCTAGCACAAGAGCTTTGCTAATTATAACAGAAGTCTTAAAATTCAACTACAGAACTGTGTTTCTGTCAACTAAGATCTCGGAAAGCATTTTATGATACTAGGATAAATAAAAACTGACAGTACACACAGACAAATCAGTATTTCTAATGGTGTAAATCTGTAAAAATTGTTTTGGAAGAGAATGATGTGAATATTCTTTTTGACTGAAAAAGAAGGTTGTTCTTAGAAGGGCTGAAGTGGTAGGGCTGCACTCAGGTAGAACTCTATGGACTCTCCTGGAATCTCTGGAAGGAGAGCTAACTCTCATCTCAGAGGTCATTTTCTTTTCCCTCATCGTCTACTCATTTTCTCCACCCCTTTTTTCACTTCTAACCAGCTCCCTTTACCCTCCATTTTCATTTCCTTCCTCCAATGAATTCACTGTCTCCTCATTAGTCCTAACTTGCCTCAGTGCTTCATCTTGTCTAGCCTCTTTGAAATTCTGCTCTAATAAAATTCTATACCTAATAACAAAAGGAGAAAAATGGGATTTATTCTTTACTAGGCTCACATCATGAGCTAGACACTGGGCAAACATGCTTCACAAATGCTTTTCTCATTTATGCCTCAGAACCATCTGGTATATATTTATTCTTAAATAAGAAAACTGAGGTGCCAACATGTGTAGCCAAGTCACAAAGCGAACAGGTGGTAGAACTAAGTTCTAAACCCAGGTCTTCTCCACTGAGCCTTAGAGCTTCCACACTACAGTGCACTTTTTTGTGGGCCTGTACAATGCCAGGCCATGTCAGGCTGAAAGAAAGCCCAAGGTGAAAGTGGAAGCCACCCTGAGATTTTACACGAGAAGGAGAGCTACACTGACAAAGGAAATCTGAGGTCAAGACAGTAGGTCAGGTGATGTACATACAAAAATAAAGCAACAATAAAAACACTACTGTATCTTGTGTCTCTATTGTGCTTTCGAGTTTGCAAAACTTTCACATTTATTAACTCATTCCTGACAACAACACTCGGTTCAGTGTTCTTGCTTTTTTTTTCAAAGAAGGAAACAAAAGTCAGATCGTTTAACTGAACCTAGGCCTGCTGATTTCAAATGCCTTACTACCTTCTAGTTTTACGGTGGGATCTGAGCACAGACTGGTCCAAGTGCAGCTGCCCGACCCCACTCCCCTCCCAAATCTCACTGCTGTCCTCTGGCCAGAAGTGGGTAGAGAGACGAGAAGGGCTCAGGTACTCGGAAGAAAGTATGCTACTTTCTCAGACTGTTTTTGTTCCATGATCTTAGAATTCATGTCTTCAGTTTATAAAAGTTAGCTTAGGGAAAGATCTCCCTTCTAAACAGTTATACTCTCAAGAAATCCTGTTTGATAGGCACTAGGCTAATAAAAGATATAGGCAGGTGTGACTGTAGGAGAGAAAGGCAGTGAACAAATGCCTTTGAATTACTGAATGTGCCCTCTCTCTTCTACACAAATATACTTTCAGGTGTGCATAGAACTAAAATAAAAGATAGGAAACTTAAGCTGGGGAAGAATTAGGAAGTGATAAATGCCTGCTATCTGGTGTTACATGATGGAATGAACCCACAAACACCTAAGTTTAATTCTTTGTGACACAGCCAGCTTGATTCTATTCTCTAATCCAAAAGGCCAACCTTACTACAACCCTCTGTTTTGCAAATCTTTGGCACTGGACACACTGGAAACCAGGATAAAGGGTAGATTATGAACATCCCTCTGCCTGAAGCCCTGTAATTTCCTGCCCACCACACCTCGGAGTAAAGGGAAAATGTACAGAGTCTCTCAGGCCCATGACATGGCCCTTCCCTGCTCTCTTCCTCTGCCCAGCTCCCTCTGGCCCAGCCACAGGGGCTTCTGTTCCTTAAACACGCCAGGCACACTCCCATTGACGGCCTTCCTCTAGCTCTTCCTCTTCACCAGATAACTTCCTGGATAACTCCTCCTATCTTTGCTCAAACGTCACTTCTTCAATCTTGCAATCTCCTCCTAAAACACATACGTAACCCTTCATTCACACACAGAGGTACTCTGCATCTTCCTTACTCTGCTTTATTTTTTCTTGCTTATATTGCACTTACCACATTCTACCAATTTCCTTATTTATTATTTTTGGTTCTCTGTGTCCATCCACCATCACCACACCTGCCTACCTTATTAGCACAGGGCTATTGATCAATTTTTTTTACTGATAGTGCCTAGAACTACACCTGTCACAGAGTAGGCCCTACGTAAATATTTTCTGAATGAATAAATAAATATCCTGAATGAATGGGATGAATGAAGATTTGGGATGCTCTCTGGCCGCAGAAGAGAATGTATACAACTACACAACCACACATCTGAACGTGGCAGTATTGCATATCCTTTAGAAAGTCTATGATCCAAACAGGCTACAAAGCGCAGTATGTAAGAGTGTTAGCTTTTTAGTCTGACCTGGATTTCAACTGCTTGTACATGCATCATCTCTAAACCTCAATTTCCTTTATGTAAAATGGGGTTATAATGAGGGTATCTACTTTGTAAAGCTACAGTGATAATTAAATGAGATTGAGTATGTAAAACACTTAGCACAGTGCTTGGGTCATAGAACTCTGTCAGCAGATAACCAATTATTATTAATATTATTAACACCCGAAAACTTAATTCATAGACATGGGTGGCATATATCCCATAGGTAGGTATACATACCCACCAAAAGCCATTATTCCGCAGTTCTTATTGCAGTGATGCAATTTTCATGGATCATAATATTTGGACCTTGTCACTAGTACTTCCTGTCTTCCTGTAATAAATTCCCCTGGACAAACCCAGTTTAGCAATGCATTTTTTCTGCCCTGAATGGCTGTTTTCTCTCAAGTTGTTGCTCGGTTTTTATTTTCCCACCCATATGTCCATTTTTAGATGTGTCTCTCTACAGGTAGCCAGCTGTGTTCTACACAGCCAGCTGTGAAGAAACATCAGGAGCTATTTAAACACAATTCTTGCTTTTCCTCCAATATGAGTTACGAGGAAAATCAAAAGAGCAAACATTCTGGACAACAAACTTAACAGAACATGAACCTTTGAAAGAAAATTTTTTTTAAGTTTCCACTTAAATGGGTTCATTTTGTTTCGCTCAAACAGAAATAATTTGGTGTATGTGTATTATTACTGCCCCCTTTCAAATTGGCTGATTTTGAAGTCAAAATGGCTTTCTGAATTGTATCTGGGTCTCTCTAGGCATTACCTGTAATAATATTCCTCACATGTAGGAAAGGTGTGCAAACATTCACATCTCTACCTTGAGTTTTAAACTTATTTTACATTTCTCTCAAAAAAAAGGCATAGTGCAAAAGTTATTTTAGATGTGGAGTTATGCAAACCTTTTAACACTTCCCAAAGGTGCCAGCCTTGTGCTTATAAGCAGTTTCAGAGCATTTTAGGTGTTCAGCATAATTTGCACTCTTATTGCAGAACTCTCACTGTGTTTGAGGGTTTTTTTTATTATTATATTATTTTTTTCCTTACCTTGGAACAAGTTTGCCATTTCAAAGCCAAAAGGAACTACTGACAAAATATGAAGGTGTTTTATCTCCTATTAAATTGTAACTTCCTTTCAAATATTTACTCCTGCGTTTGGGTTCCTGGTTTGATCATGCAAGGAGGCAGGTGCAGCCTTAAAGAAATAAAAGTTGAGTCTGCAGTTTCCTAGAGAACTTTTAAAACTCTACATTGGAGCACAGTGTTTCTTCCTGACATTAATTGGGTAGCAAATTAACTTTCCCTTCCCTTTCTGTTTTATTTCTGCTTCCAGTGACAGTAGTGTTGTTTGCAGCTTTGAGGAGGCAGCGGAAAAAGGAACCTTTGATCATTTCCAAAGAGGACATCAGAGACAACATTGTCAGCTACAATGACGAAGGTGGTGGAGAGGAGGACACGCAGGCCTTTGACATCGGCACCCTGAGGAATCCTGAAGCCATAGAGGACAGCAAATTACGCAGGGACATTGTGCCCGAAGCCCTTTTTCTACCCCGACGGACTCCAGCAGCTCGAGACAACACCGACGTCAGAGATTTCATTAACCAAAGGTTAAAGGAAAATGACACGGACCCCACTGCCCCGCCCTACGACTCCTTGGCCACTTACGCCTACGAGGGCACCGGCTCCGTCGCCGATTCCCTGAGCTCGCTGGAGTCGGCGACCACAGATGGAGACCAAGACTACGACTACCTGAGTGACTGGGGCCCTCGGTTCAAAAAGCTCGCCGACATGTACGGAGGCGTGGACAGCGATAGAGACTCCTAATCCGTTGCCTTGTTCATCTTCCAATACGACACTGAAATACGTGGAGTTGCTATTTCTTTCTATTTATCCACTGGTCGGTGAAGGGTTCTCTGTTCTACCCATTCCAAAAGTCAATGGCTGCAGTCTGCGCGGATCCAATGTTAGGGACTCTTTTCTAGTACACTTTTATGAGCTTCCAAGAGGCAAATGTTTATTTTTTAGTGCATCCACTTAACCAAGTCAGTCAGCCCAACAGGCACCACGCTAGAAGGAGGGGCCGGGGAGGAGTATTTCCCCTTGCTCTCTGAGGGCAGGTTTGGAACGTACCCCGTGCCACTGGCCTGGTCTTTGCAGTACACTCCATTGCCTCAGTTCAGCTGACTGCTCTGACTGTATATTTCACATGCTAATGGGATAAGGGACTGTGCTTTAATGACAACAATATAGTTTTAGTAAAAGCAATGAGAGAGGAACAACTATGAGGTTGTTTCGGGTATAGCGGCTCACAAGGAGATAATGAACTATGTATGCGTGGTTATTTCTGTCACAAAGTGTTTAAAATGACATCTGTCTATCCTGTTTTGTTCTTCATGAACTTCTTCTGGCACCGATGACTATTGAAAACATCAAATCCACCAATGTTTTAAGATTCTCTTTCCTCCTGAGGAATGGAAGCAAATTAAATGGCAACTTTCAAAAAGAAACACAAAGAAACAATAAGACCTCATTTCTTTGCCACTAGCTCATAATTTGGTAGTATTAAACACATAAAAATTTGCCCTTGCACCCTGTAAAAGGAAAGGGAAATAACTGTTAACAAAGGAAATATTCTTCATATTTTAAAGTTTGTGCCATCAGTAGGCTACTTACAAATAAGTCTAATTGTCTAAACATCCTTGAAAGAACTTTTCTGAGGCAAATTTTAACTCCTTGTCTGTAGTTGTCAAGAGTGTTATGCTAGTATACTGGAAAGTAGCAGTGTGAAGTACAATGATTCATATTCTTCACATACTTCTTACACAATAAAGTTGCATTAGTAAAGGCAGATTGAATAAAACTCAAATCCTCCTCTCAGAGTTTGATGGGGAGGTAAAAGTCAGCCATGCTTGAACCTGATAATCTGTCCTTCACATATGGAAACATCTATATATTTACATAACATGATAGATACATATGAACACTGAGATCATAGTGGAAAACCAACATATTACAGGTTTGGAAGACGCTTACAAAAGGAAAACATGGATTCCGTCCAACAAGAGTGTTTAATATTGTATTCAAATGGTAGTTGACTTTCAGAAGCATTAATATTTTTTCATTGTTTTTAACTTTGTTGCTATGACGAGGCTAGCATCCTTGTCTTTGAACTAATGATAAAGTAATGGTCTCAAACTAGGACAGAAAAGTAATGTACAATCCATCTACTCTATTATTTCTCTAATTATGCAATTAGCATCATAATTATTATCCAGAGGACCCAACTGAACTGAACTAATCCTTTTGGCAGGTTCATATCATTCATTTCATATGGCTGTTCTAATGATTCTTATCATTAGAATCTTACATAGTGCCATCATCATAAATTTCCAAACTACTATAATGAAGACATCTTTATTTTGAACTTAGAAAAAAAAAATAGGCTCTGTGTATATATAATATGTACTTAAAATATGCTGACTTCAGCCATTAGTCTTGGCAATTTATTTTGAATTAATGTTAATTTTCTACAGATAATCTTAGTGTCATCTCCATATGGAGATAATTTCATATCAGCACATATTTTCTGTTTGGAAACATGCTGTTGTTCAGTTGAGTTTTAAATAGGCATATTACCAGGAAGTAAAGACAGCACCTTTAAAATAAGAGAAATGTAGTCTTTCGGGGTGCCTGATTAGGGTGAAAATTTTTTACAACCATTTTATTCCTTGTGTTTCCCGAATGGTTTCTGATTTTGTAATGGACTTCCCTGTATACTAACAAGTATTTGTTGTCTGGGCTATTTCCTGCTTCCAGGGTTTTCTTTTGCTAGGTCTTCATACACATACATGCACACACACACACACCCCGGAATGCAAAATACTACAGTAGGGCTTCACTCTAATAAATTGATATATATTATAACCACAGTAAGTGTTGAAAAAGGATAGTTTAGTAAAGTCAATTAATAAGAACTTGGTATTCATAGCAATAGAACAGCACCTTAATCACCGACTTACTGTAAAAATTAAAGAGCTCTCTATCCTTCTGTTTCATGTCATGTAATAAATTGTATCAAGAAAGATAGTCCAGTAAAAAGAAAAGTACCATCAGAAATCTTCCTTTTGAACTTTTGGGTTAATTGAACTGTCTGAGGGTTGACACTAGCAACTTCCAACTTCTGCAGCGGATTATTTGAGATGTAATTGGCAGGGTATTTTATCCCACTCTGAAGATGGTACAGTGTACCCATGACAGGCTAATACAACTACATATTGGAATAACTGTTCAATCTCTTACCATAAAACCTGATGATAAAGTGAATCTCTAAGAAATTGGATAATTTAATACCAGAGCTAAGGTTCTGTATAAGTATCAAGGTAGAATAATAATCTCCTATGATTAAGACTTTCCACGTCACAGAAACAATAAGAACCATAGTTTCCAACACTCTGTGTGGGTCTCCCTTCCCACCAAGGCATCCGGCCAGAGACCAGGATCAACATGAATGATTACAGGAAAAAATACTAGTTTTAAGCCCAGTTTTCACACTGCTTCTGTCCTGTTATCACATGTCCTGATATTAGAAAGATGGAAGAAAAGTGGCAAGAGGTAAAATTTTAATATTTGTTTTAATCACTGAAAACCTAAAATTTATTAAATATAAGATCACTTCAAAAATAGGGAGATATTCTTCAAACCACTGAGATGTTCCTAAAATAAGCTGAAATTTTAAGAACATTAAGCTATTATGAATAAGTTTTTAGCCCCTTCATTTCATGAGCCCTTTCTGGTGTAAATCCTGGCAAACATTTGGCCCCAAATAGAAACCTAAATTAAATGGAGAAGGAAAGATGATTCCATAGAACTGTAAGAGAGAGCATCTGAGCAAAGTAAATATATGTTTTTTTTTTACAGAGTTTTCTTAGCTTTACAGTTTAGGAGCATAAAGGGAAATCTGGATACAAATTGACTCCATTTTCAGATGGAACAAAACCTACTGATTCAATTTTAACTCAGTACAAAAATGTTTGGTCTGGTGCTTATTTTCAGCTCCCAAAAAGTTGTACAAAAAGTTTTTAAAAGTTGACTCCCTTAGGCATCCAAATTTTATGAATCCAAATTAACTTTAGAATGTTTCCATTACTTTCATTTTTAAGTACCTAAATTACTACCTGTCCTGAGCAAAACCTTACTTCAAATACTTTGCCTGAAATGGGTATTTCAATGGAGATAATAGTATATGAACTATGCATCGGGCATTTCTCAATTCTATATACTTGAGGATCATTAAAAGTATGCAGTTGAAACGAAAGAACAGAGTTGATCTTTGGGCACAAAATAATTATTTAAGTCAAGTACAGCTAAATCATTTTTCCTAGGAAACGAACCACCAAATAAATTACTTTCACCTAATCACTAGTTTTGAGGCAGTGTAATTGTTTTGAAAGAACCTTCTAAAAGTCATGATCCTCACTATTTTGAAAGATATCCTCTGAAAAGTATCATTTTTAGTGTAACATTTTTTGTTTTTATCTAAATAAAATGTTTTTTTGAACTGTGACGGGGTTAAAAATCCAAGCAGTCTACTGTGTTTACATTAACAGTACAACACAGTCTCCTTTATCAGATTATAAGGGTGGAAAGATCAGGATTTAGTGCATGGATCTCAGGAACATGAACTATTTCCTAAAATCTAATGAGTAGCTTTCCTTTCCAGATAATTCAGAATTACAATATGGTCTCCTTAAAAGTTTGGTGACTATTACTGGTTGAAGCACTTTTAATCTCCCTTTGGCATCTTTATGGAATAATTTTCTAAAGGGATAATTCTCTACAAAGAAACATCAGACCCCAACTAGACAATGTGCAGAGATAGTCTCCCACTTAGAAAGGAAATACACTGACTCACACACTTGTTAAAAGTTAATAAAGAAATAGCTCATTTTTAAAGCCAGAAGTTTATGGTCTCTGCATCGTCAATTTAAACATTGTAGAGACAATCTTTAATCTACTCTCCATTTTGCAAGACCTTATTTACAAAGCACTTTCATTTTTTAATTTGGGAGGACTGTTAGCCTGACAGATCCCACACACAAAAGTGCCGAAAGGAGGTCAAATGGCAACAAACCCTTTTACGCACTGTACTGCAGACAAGACGGAGGCACTTAGCCCGAGAGCCACTGGGTTATTAGATTAATTTCAAAAGAGCTTTTACACATTGCTTAATTCCATTTTCTTAAAAACCCCTGTACCGCAAACTCAAATTTCTCTTCAAATGGGGTTAATTTGACAAATAAGGCATAGAGCCAGTGTAGCGGAAAAAGCATTCCACTGTAATGAGATCTTGGTCTTTCTTTCGAGACTACGTTATTTATGTAAATATGTCTACAGGCACCTTCTATATGCTTTTAGTTTTCTATGATCTATTAGTTTAGTGTTTACTAAGAAATCAAATGTATAGAATTACTTGGTATTCCGGGGGAATGCTGTGTAGCAAACGTTTAACTGATTTGCGCGGAAGGAACATAGGAACGCTTCAAAGTTACCGGACTGTTTTGTTTGTGATTATTTTCATTGCTTTGAAAGTAAACCACGTAGGAATGAGCCTTATAATAAATGCTACGTGCGTCTTCGGTAGTACCAAGCTAAGGCAATTTGGCATTCTTCGACTGTGATTTGTGATTTTAAACCCAGAAAATAAAAGCTTTTTGCTATTGATTGTTTTTAACTAAGAATACTCCCAAGTTTAAATTGAAGCTGATGCCACCCTTGAAGATTTACTGGCTGGAGTGCTCAATTCATATGGTTTTTCTCAGTATCGCTCATTCTTTGGCAATGAGAACACCTGAGCATGAGAACCACTGCTCAGCTTTCAGCATCGTAGTTGTCCTGACTTCACAGTTTACATGAGGAAGTCTCTGTATTAGAAGAATGGGGTTGAGACAATTAGCTTTTAGCTCAGTGTGGCCGGGCCTTTTGTTGTAGTCAAATGGTAAATACACGCTCCTTGAAACGGCTTCTTTGCTGTTGCTTTGTTTTCTTAAACTTATTAAATTTGAAAAGAATGCAATTTAAAAAGTGATTTCTCAGAGTAAATATGCCTTTTGCAAATCAATTTTTGTAACATGTTATTTATATGATATTACTTAATAAACCGGTTTTTTTCTAACTTGTTTTTCTTAATTCTTTCAATTGCTTGTAATCAGATTTTAAAAATGTACCTGCTGACACACTTTATCTTTCCAAATCTGCTGTTTTAAACTCTCAAATAGCTATCTAAAGCCAACTTGTTATACAATAATTAGCTTGTAAACTACAGTTTCTCCCAGCCAGCAATATGTATCATTGGCACTGACTGCCCTGCAGACTTCTTACTGCTGGGACATGAAGAATTCTACTGTTATTTATGGAATTGCTATATTAAGAAGAAAGCTGTTTATCCTCATGGTAATTGCTTTAGATAAAAAAGAAGAGTTCTATATTTTTGCCCATCCCAAATCTCCATTTTTATCTCACTCCCACAAAAACAATTGTCTATGGATCTCTGATTGAGAAAAGAAAGAAAAAAATAGAGCCAGACCAAAGGGAAATGAGAATAAAATCCTTCCAGCATTCTGATGCTATGAGTAAATGTTTTTAGCATATTCAGAACTACTATATGTTCCATGCTTGTTCTTTTTTAAGCTGCTGCCTATTTCTACAGAGGCCATTTTATAATTTTTTAACTGGGAGAATTCATAGCTGTGAAAAACGACTCATTTATTCATTTGTTCAATGTATATAATAGGTACTCCACTGTGTGCTGTGGAATATTCGACAGTAAGCCAGACAGACGTATTTCCCCATCTCAACAGAAGCTTGTGGTCCAGAAGAAAGGGTGGATAACTATAGCTACCACCAGAAGGCGGCACGGAGATGTCTTCAGAGAGGTGCAGATGTCAGAGTTCATAAGAAGGAAAAACTGTTTCTGCCCAAGTGGAAGAGTGTGTGGGTAGGCTTAGGATTTAGTAAGGCTGAGATAAAGGGAGATAAGAAATTTTATTTTAAATACAGGGGAAAGAGAGGATGTTTAAACAGCACAATTGATCTCAGCTGGAAAGGGACTAGGCTTAGACAGTCACGTGGCACCAGAGCACAGGGGCTCCCCTTTACCACAGCAGCTGGTTCTTGTGGTTGCTTTGTTTTTGTTTTTGCAATTTTCTTTGAAGTTAACTTGGTGGGAAACAGAAACCCATAAAAAGGAATGATGCTATTAGAAATACACTTTTCAAAGGACATGTACATCGCACGGTAGTATCCTCAACACCCAGAGCCAAGCCCTTCCTTTTGGCACTCCCACCACCTCAGGGCAAGAATAGTCTACAGCACCTGGGAAATTTCCCTGACTTAATGGGAACAGAGGCAGGAAGTGCAATGTGCTGTCTAAAGGACCCAGTTCAGGAAGCAGATTCATGCTACCATTAGACAGGCGAAGCCCTTTCCCACCACCACAGCAAATCACTTCCCATAATGATTATCAGTATATGTTACAGCAATGCACACCAACTGCTGCAGCAGACAAAATCCAAAATCTCCATGAATTTTATGTCCCACTCTTACAAAGTTCAGGGTGGTTGTGAGCCTTTCTCCCTCCTGTAGCTAAACCACGTGGAGCACACTGCCTCCAAAGTTTGACGAGGCAAGGAAGCAGTTTGCTGGATGATCACGTGAGACGTTTCTAAAGGGCAGGACCTAGATGTAGCTCATATATGTCTGCTCACATCTCATTGACCAGAGCTCAGTTACATGGCCCCAAACTAACTGGGCAGAGGCTGGGATATGTAGACAGACAAACTCATGTGTATTTGATGAACACACTTCCATGTACCTGCCACACAGAGGTTCAATCTCTGTTAATCTTTTGATCTTTCCCAATTCTCCTCAATTTCAGTCACCATAATAAGCCATACCCCATAATAATCATGAAGATGTTATCAGAAGAGCAGAGGAAGTCATTTGCAAATTTAACCTTCAAGTTGAGAACCCATTTAAGAGGCGTTTGTCTACCATCCCTGACTCCTTCACCCATGGTAAATATTGCTAATCAATTGACTCATTGAGCTCCTATATGCAGCCTTAGAATCCCTAATAATCCTCCAGCAGACATCAAAAAGAGAATAGTGGTGACCTATCTGCCATCCCAAACCAAAGAGATTAAGTTCTCCAGGAAAGCTTGTTTTCTTTCATTCAAAGTTTTGTTAAATACTCACCACTGTCATTTGGGAAGAGCATTCTGGTCCTGAGATTGTCAAAAATTTGGAATAATTTAGGAAGCCAAAGGCTCAGCCTGCCATTATATAGCTCATATTTTTATTTGATAAATCTGAACCAACAAGCATGTATATCTTTGGACAATTCAGATGTTTATTTCAGCTTGGTTGATGAATCTCTCCTCAGTGATACTCCAGAACATTCATGTTCATTCTGCAAAAATCATCTGCGAACCAACAATGGACCAGGCATGGATCAAGGTGACAGACCAACAGGGGTGAAAAGACGTACACGCTGCTCAGCACTTACCCTTCCCTGAAGGACTGCCATGATTTAATCTCCCATTATTTATCTTGCCTGACTAAACATTTTGTGTTGAATGACACCCGAATTCTCTAGATCACTTTTCTGGGCCTCATATACCTGACTTCAATCCTTTTCCAAATATGCTATGAATACATATGCCTCTTTTAAAAAAGTAGATTGTCTCCTACTTCTGTCTATAGTATACTTATTCCTTTTTTAAAACATCTCTCTTGACATATTAGATCATATTTATTGCTTCCCAAGCCATTTAGTCTCAAAAACTTAACTTTTAATGACAAATATGTCTTGTTTGCACATTGATAAGAAAATGTTTCATTATAGTCTATAAAGCATAGGTTTTATTAAAGCTTTTAACTTTGCTTAGATGCCTGATAATAATACCTTACTTTTACACAGCACTTTAGAAGTAACTGTCATACAAATGACCTAACATAACTCTCGCACAAGCCTGTCCAATAGGCTGCATCAACCCCATTTCACAAAGTGAGGTCATTTGTCCCTAGCTCCTGTCACAGGAATTAGAATTAAACTCATTCCTTTTAACTCAGGCTCTGCAATCCTGCCACCGAACTCCACATTTCCCCTTTTGTATACATAGTTCAATCTAATCCATTTGCGAGTGTGGATAAAATGAAGTTTCCTGTGGCCAGGATTCTCACCTGGCTCTGGTCAGCTAGCTCACTACACATGTGTGGACAATATGATATTATTAACTTTACATAAAGAGCTCTGCCCAGTGCTCTGGGTGACATAGTGGCATGGCCGCAAGGCTGCAGGAGAGCAGAGCAGAGGCTGGAGTGGTGGCAGAGCCAAGGACAGAGGCCCAGAGGACGGCTTTGTGGGACAACTGTGCAGGTAGAAAGGCCCAGAGGCAGAGACCAGCTTGCTGCATGCAGACTCGCTCTGAGTGATTGGGATTCTAGTGACTGACCTGCCACCGTGGGAATAAAGTTGGGTATAACCCTTTCACCCCAAGAACATTCTACTCTCATTTCTTTGGTCACATTGAATCCACAGTGAACTTGCCTGAGGCTGAAACCCATTGGCAAGACAGCAAGAAATACATATTGGGAGAAAAAAAGGATTTTTTTTTGTCCTTTATACAAATTCGGATGAGGCTGGACTCTGCTGATGGCAGCAGCCTCAAAGACATTCCTATCTATAAGATCAGTCCACGTGATCTGAAGGAAAAAAGCCTGAAAAACAAAATTCTGCCTATTAACTCCTGCTACTGATTCCAATTATAAAATTGGAAGTGCAGCCAAAGAAAAATATTCCCAAGAAATATAAAATTCCACCAAAGACTGCAAAAGTTCTAATTTTTCATATAATAATAATCTTGATGTCTTGCCAATGGGTTTCAGCCCCGGGCAAGTTCACTATGGATTCAGTGTGACCAAAGGAATGACAGTAGAACATTCTTGGGGTGAAAAGGTTTATTACCCAGCTTGTTCTCCCAGGGGTAGGTCTAGCAGAAGCGTCTCTGCCTCCGCCCAGAGCACTGGACAAAGCTCTCGTATAGTGCAATAATAGCTTATTGCCTACGGGTGTGGAAGGAGTAGCTGAGCAACAGGCCAGTTACATCATCAAGTGGTAAGTTCAGTGAGGATCCTAGCTATAGGGACCCCAACTTCCCCACACTTGACGATACTTCAGACATCACCCATGGTAAGCCCTCTGCAGAGCAACGATGCCCTTAGAATAGGAGAGGAAGAAGAACTGCTCCTTAGGCAAGTCAGACACATGACTAATGGCTCTTTAAAGTCATTCGGCCACTGTGGAGGGAGAAGGGAGACTTGCTCAGCCATGGGGGCCTGTTGAATCCAGGTCCCCATCGCAAGAATGTGGAGTCTGTGACATTCCAACTGTTCA